TGTTATGTTTATGTTATGCTTCATGATTTATAACACGACTAACTATATTGAAAAATATAATAAGTCATGGATAAAATATTTATGAGTATCTCATGAAACTAATAAAGAAAAGGGTTATTGATGACAAGACTTCACACATTTTTCTGCGAGTTTCCTTGACTACATAACTAAAGGTTTATTTTACTTTATTATATTACTTTGTACATTAAATATATCTTAATATTAGTTCAATTATTTTAGAAGTATTTTGAAGGTCTTTATAATTTAAATATATATTGTTAAAACTTGAAAAAACTATGTAGGAGGCACGCCGGAAGGTGCTAAGAGCAGGGGTGGCAAATCAAAACACAAGGGCACATGCCAAAACATCAACACAATATTTTATTAGATATAATATCTTATATAAATAAACCATTTAATTAAGCCTACCGTTCTCCAAAAAATACACAAAAAATGTCACTTTGTCTACTACTTTTACTATTGCGAATCGCATGTACAGTGCAACAGTAAAAGTTATAACACTATTAAATAGTCTACTAAATAAATCAATTGTTTCTTAGTTACTTTCTAGATGTCAATAGTGCATTTCATCCTATGCCACTCTTAGCTTTACAAGGTGCTTGAACGATTTCAAGTGTATTTACCGAAATAATTCATTCTACTGTCATTCATTTCAACGAACTGTTTAGCAATTTTTTTAATGTTAATTTTGTCAATTTATTTTTTGTGTATTGGAGCGAACATGATGTCGTTCAGGTGATTGCCTCTAGCTTGTGACCTAACCCATGTTTTTACTCTCCTCATTACACTAAAACTTCTTTTACATAATAATGTCGATAGAGGCATGGTTTAGTAAATTGTCTAGCTTGATTCCAGGTATTTTTTTTTGTTGCCTTTAAAATTCTATCAAATTCTTTATCTGATCTAAGTTCTGCAAATCTCTGAGACGCATTTCGAATGCAGAATACTGCGACATTACCTTTCAGATTAGTTTCTTGTAACTGCTTTGATAGATTCTCTAGAATAGCAAAAAATTCAAAAGTATTTTGCAGTTCTTTACTGATGAATATTGAGATAATAAACCATTAACTTTTGCTCTTGTTTCTGCATCTATAGTCTTGTCACTCTGAAGACTGTTCAACATTGTACGCAGTTCTGCAATCTTCTCCAACACTACTTGTACTGCTTATGTTCGTGTTGTCCATCGAGTCATTGACATAGACTTCAGCCACAATATTCTTTATTCATCAGATTCAGACTCATGCAATATATTCTTTTGAATTTGTTCGAAAAAAGCAACACGCTTTGAATATGCCCCAAAAAGTGCATAAATTGACCGTTAAATGCTGAGAGAATCTGACAGAAGTGATGTATTCTTGATGCATATATATCCTTAACAATTATCTCGCAGCAAGGTGTCATGTAATGAAAATATTGTGCTTACTGTACAAATATATTTTTCAGTTTTGCTGCCAAGCACTTCATAACCGATGCTCTATCAAAGCCAATTTCGGCAACTTTTATATATATTCCAAGTTGCACCTCAAAAAGATATCTTCAATATATTGCGAGGTTAGAATTATTTTGTTCTATCTCCACATTTTTTTGTTTCGAGATAAAACGATTTAAAAAATAAAAACTTTAGGAGACGACATATAAAAAGATTTTTATTACTTATGTTTTCTCCGAAACTTTTTTGATTTTAACTTAGGTTTTAATATAGTAGAAAAACAATATTTTTAGGTACATGACACAATTAATAACTCATTTTTTTCAAAAAGTGGAGATAGAACAAAATAATTCTAACCTCGCGATATGTCACCAAGACATCTGAAGAAAGTCCGTTGACACATTCATATACTAACATCAAGACATCTCAAGAAAGTCTGTTGGCGCATTCATATACAAGTGGCTGAATAGCTCAGAGTTCAAATCATGCAACCGCTAACTCAGCGCTTGAGTAGCACTTCGGTACGCAAAAAATGTTGGTCAATAACGGACGCTACTTTCAATTAGTCTTAATGACTATTTGTGACAGTTCCTATCCTAAGCCATTTATATCTTCGGATATAAGAACATTGTATAGAAAAATATAGCATGAAAATTCAAAAAAATAAATTCAAATACTCAGATAAAATCTTTGTTCGCTTAATAATTGTCACTGCAAGCTCTTATGTTAAACGACATTTGTTCCTTCTTAGTAATATCTGAGGATTTATCTGCAAGTACTAAATAGAAATGTTTAACTTTGATCAGTTCAACAATCTGCCTTAGTGCTTCTACAGTGGTCGGCCATCACATTAGGACCACACGTTTTAATAATACACAGAAAATAAATATGATTTTTTTTTGTTACAGTCAAGTTATTTCTATTCTTTGTAATATTTAATCAAAACTTTATCAATTAGCAACTCTGGCTGTCAATAATCACCTGTCATAGTCAAATTGGTGCATATTGGACAATTTAAGGTTATTTTTAGTTGTTAGTTTGATAGAAGTTTAAATATGATTTATTTTAATTCCAAGCATCTGTGCTTTATTTAATTATTATTTTTTCTTTTGAACTTAATAATAATCAGTAAGTCATTAATTTTAAATAAAGGATTTTATGTTTTTTTTTTCTGTTTATGTAAAGACACTAAAGTGTAGTCTTTTTTTAAAAGTTCTTAATTTAAATTTTCAGCTATGGGTAAAAAATGTGATACGACACCAACAAAAGTTAGTCAAATTAGATATCTTTTACAGGATACAAAATATTCTAAGCGAAAAGTTGCACAAATTGTAAAAGTTTCTCACCAAATCGTAATACGAGTGAGAAAAAAAATTGATACAGGGGAAGAGTTTGATCTAAGGAGACCACCTTCTAAACGAAAGAGCGGATCGTATTATCTGGAATATATGGCTGGAAAACAGAAAAAAGCCACAAAATTTATTGACTAAGCTTATCCATGAAGCTGGTATTGCTGTGTCAGACCGGACCATTCGCAGAAGGCTGAAGGAAGAGGGATTGATGTGTCATCGTCCAGCCAAGAAACCAAAACTGACTTCACTCATAAAAAAAAAGAGACTGGAGGGGGCTCGAAACTATCGTCACTGGTCTGTTGAGGATTGGGAAAAAGTATTTTTATTTGCATTCATATTCATAAACTATTTTAAATATATTCATAAATATTATAATTTAAAATAAGCATTATTTTAGGCTTGCTTCTCTGATGAATCAACTTTTCAAGTAATGATGGAAAAAACAGCTTTTGTTCGTCGTAGAACAAACAAAAAGTTTCATCCTACTGCATTGTGGAAATAGTCAAGCATCCAGCTTCAGTAATGATCTGGTCTGTCATTTGTGGGCAAGGAGCAGGGCGTCTATACAAAGTAGTTGGGACAATGAGACAGGACCAGTATATAGAAGTTCTGAAGAACCGGTTGCTTCCTCAAATGGCAGATTAGTCTAAAAATGTCAAAAATCTTATATTTATGCAAAATTTGCCACACAGCAAAAAGTGTTATGGCTTTTTTAAAACAGAAAAAAGTAGATGTATTGCCATGGTCAGGCAACTCACCTGATCTTAATCCCATAGAAAACATTTGGAAAATAGTAAAGCGCGATATTGGAAAACAAATTCTTACTAACAAGCAAGATCTTATGGAATATATTATCAGGATCTGGCACAATAACCCAGATTTGCCAGAAACTATAAAAAATTCAATTGCAAGCATGCCACGACGAATAGAAGCAGTTATTGCAAATAAAAAGGCGGTTTTACAAAACATTAATACTTAATATATATTTTTTATATAATTTATTGTAATAACAAATAAATATTCAAAATATTTAATTTTATTTGTTTATTTTTTATCAAGTATAACTTTATAAATAAGAGAACAAGCTTTAAATTACAGCATTACTTTTCTTTTTGCCAAAAAATTCTTTTTTACACGATATTTACAAAAAATTACAGCTGGTCCTAATGTGATCGCCGACCACTGTAAAATGAAAAGCTGTTCTAGCTCTTGCAAGATGTCATGAGATAAAGCATAATGGTTTTCAATCATCAACATTTCTAATGCCATGTCACTTTTACTCTTATCCAAATTAAACTCTAATTGCTTTAAATCACCTCTTATAGCTACACCCTGTTGAAGCAATGTTTTCAATGTTCCGAAATGAGCTGAAAAGCCTCTTTTCTTCAAACTGCTTGCTTCTCCATGTACATTTAATCAATTTGAGCATTAATTGTTGTAAACTATATATTTTCTTTCTCAATTTTCAGAGGACTTGCAGCCTTGTGAACATTGGAGTCCTCATGATATTTTAGTGCTGCTGCAGATTTGCTCTATTTTTTAAATACTTTTCCAACTTAACGCTTTAACACTCCATCAGAACATGAATCATAGAAAACTTTCAGTGATCAATCATAACATGAAGACAGCTTTCAGTGATCGATCATAAATAACCAACTAAAATCATTAGACCAAGTCTTATTACAAGTTCTTCCATTTCATTCACTGTTTTTTTTTATCAATTTCAGTGACATTTTCTGCTTTTCTAGCAAGATTTTCCGTTAGAATATCACCATTTTTTGCATCAGACACCTTTTTTTCTGTATTGTCTATTTTTTAATTGTCTATGTCAACTTTATCCTGATTCTGTAGTTCACCGTGAGGGCTCTCTGGCTCCACCGATTCAGTTGTTGTTTTTTTCAACAAAGTAGTAATTTTGATCTGATAAGGTGATGCTGCTGCTTTTGATAATTCCTTAGTTTTTTTCTTTTGAAGTCTTTCGGTCTTTGGCATGACTGTTCAGTGGTTAAAACCGTTACTTTGAAGTTAAGATTACGATTAAGAAATGAAGTACTAAGCAGTGCCGGATCATGTGAGGAGGGGGACTACAGCCCCAGGCGCCAGAAACTTAGGGGCCCCTAAAAATTTTAGTGTACCTTTTTTTTTTTAAGTTATTTTTAGGCTCTGGCCGATAAAAAGGCTTCCAAAAGCAAAAATAGCCCTGGGCCCCAAGAAATCTTAAGCCACCACTGGTACTAAAAAATATAAATTTGTACGCAAATAGTCGTCGAAAATAATCACCACTTGCAAATAATCATCAAAAATAAAAATACAAATTTTTTTTATTTTTATTTTAGGTGCGCCCAGAAGACCTAACGGTCTTGTCACAGAGCACCGCGGAGGTGCATTTAACCAGGAAGTTCACGCCTCCTTCCTTACCGTGACGTGAAAACATGTCTAAAGCTCGTTTCGGACCTGGATCTCCTGCCTTTATAACAAGCGCTGAGCAGTCACTCAAAACAACAAAATGGCAATAAAAACCCTCACTGATTTTTTATTTCAAAAGTAATTATAATTTTTTCATAAAACTTTTATTTTGTATTTTATAGGTAATAGAAGTGAGAAAATTTGATATTATTTTAAAAGAATTCTGAAAAATGTGAGGTTTTTATTCAACTAAATTTAGTTCCACAAATATCTGCATATTTTCCAGTTTCCAAAACAAATGATATTGACCGGTAATTTAAATTTAAGTATTTTGCTTGTAGAACTAACTTGATCTTATATAGTTTATAAATCATAAATATTAAATATTGTTTTAAAAAGCGTTCTTTTGTCATTATATACTATTTAGAAGTTTGTTAAAATATTTATTGGCAATTTTAAAGAAAAGTATATTATTTGATAAGTACAACATGTTTGAAAAAGCTTAACTGAACAACTTTAGTATTTCCTGAAACATAAAGTTAAATTAGTAATATAGTGTTATTACAATATGTAACAATGTAACAATTGTTTAAAGCCATAACAAAATAAAATTTTAAACATTGTTAAGTAAAAAAATATATAATGTAATTTAAAATGTTTCTGATATATTAGTTTTATTATATTGATGGTTCTTAAAAACAATAACAATGAAAGAACCAGTTCTTATTCCAAATATACGTGAAAAATTAAGTATAACGTAAATATAACGTAAATTAAGATTATGGAAGGATTTACATAATGAAATAAAAAATACTGAAGAAATTCACAAAAAAAACATAAATAAAGTAAAGGTTGCTTTAGTTATATTTATTTCGTAGGTGAAGAAAAAACTAAACCGATATGGACGAAATTATGATACAATAATACAAAAAGAAAATCATTGACTTAAAAGAAATCTTATGAACAATAAAAATAGCCATTTTAGTTCTGGAAGGCCCCATAAACAATGGAGAACGAAGCAAAAGAAAAAAAAGCATTAGGCCAAAGTTTTTATAAACAGAAATACGATTCAAGCAACGCAAGTATAGAACTTAATAATGAAGAAAATCTTTTCAGTACAACTTTTGTGCCTTTATTGCTCAAAGTAGAAGATGGCGAAATTTGGAAAAATGGAAATCCTTCAAGTTGTCGCTTTTGTAGACCTTTTCTTCTACAACATAAAAAGAGTCCAATTTTATCCAGAGAAGAAGAATCAGATCTAAAAAATCAAAACAATACCTTGAAGGCGTTTTGCAATATTTTGAATATTGCAGGAATAATTTTGACATTTAACATCAGCTATAGGATTGATCTTTCAATGTTTGATAATAAAGTAGTTAACGTACTTACAGAGACAAAATCCACTCAATCCTGCAATGTGCGCAAAGCTAAACCCAATGAAATGAACAATATTGATTTATTAAAAGCAAAAACTCGAATTTACCCTGAGTAAAAATCAATCTTTTACAAAAATCTCAGGGTAAATCGAATTTACCCTCAGATTTTTGTATATTATATACAATTTGATATAAAATCTAAAGGTTTTAAATTATTCGCAATAAAAATAGGTTATAAAATATAACTTTATTAAAATATTTTTTAAACCATATACATGCATTCTATTAGGTTTTCCTTCCTTTTCCATTACGGCAAATTATTTTTGTAATGGCTAGTTATTGAGACAATAACTTGCAATGAGCCACTTCCTCGACGTTGTCAAAGCAATGTTTTATTAACGTTGGCAAAGTAACACTTTTTCAACGTTTTTTAATTACCGCATTTTCAACGTTGGAATATGTAACGTTGAATAAGTGTTGTTTTAAATACGTTAAAAAAACAGCTAATGTCTAACGTTCTAACTTTGCGACGTTTTTACAGTGATTATTTGCGTACTTTTATTCATTGTTGAATAAACGCGATTTTTTGAGAAGATAAGATACGTTTAAATTTATACGCTTATTCAACGTTGAAAATGTAACGTTTAAAAAGCGGTTTGTTTTTAACGTTGATAAAGCATACTCGGTGTAGTTAAGGCACTTAATTTTCCGCGATTTAGTATACAAAAACAGACATTGATTCAACGTTGAAAGCACTTTGTTTTTGTGACTGTAACGCTTTTTCTACGCTGCGACTGGTTTTCAACGTTGATTCAACGCTGATATGTTTGCTGGGTTGATTTTATTGCTTGCGTTACGATAAGAACTGGTGAGACAATGGCATGCTTCTTTGATAAAGCGATAAGGTTGCATTCATTTAAATAAAGCTGATTAGATTGTTCCTTATTTATAACGACAAGTTTTGTGATATTCTTTATAGGGTTGCACTTTTCGGTTTGTCGAGCAAAACTGGTGGACTGCAGACAGTATATGAAAACATACTTAAGACTTTCACATGTAATATTACATCGAATAGCTTAACAATACTAATAATACTTAGACCCGTTAGGAGCCGACCCTTGCCTAAAAGCAAGAAATATTTATGCGTTAGGCTCCGTCGTACTGTCTGCGCTACTTCCCGAGGGCAGCAGGATTGGGTTCTACGACTCAGTTTGGTCATCATCGGCCTACAACAGTCTATCATTTAAAGCTTGGTAAGTGAGAGGTAAGAAATGGTCACAAAAACTATAGTAGTTTCCGTAATTATGAATTAATTGTATTTCTTGACCTTGCATACGTACTTTGAGCTTTTGTATTATTGCTATCCCTAGTTTTGCAATAAGACGAGCGATAAGGTAAGTTACTCTAGTCAAAACAACATCATAAAGTAAACGAACACACCCCGGCATGGCACGGCATTTTTGATGAAAGGTTTGAAAACTAAATACACGACTACCGGCATGTTTGGTGAAAGATTTGGAAATCAAGTTAGCAAAACATAATGGAATTGTTGACTGCTGAAGGTTAACAGTAATTGTTTGCCTTTCTGCCCAGCGGCCGTGCTTGTAATAAGGTTGCAGCAAGGGCTTAGCAATACCCCCTAGCTAGATAAAAGAATCGAAGCCATTTTAAAAAATGAATGTCTTATTTAGAGATATTACTATTATTAGAGGGATTAATTTCTAAGATATTGTTTGAAAAATATTTGCAAGATGATAGAATACATTCCATTAGTTGGTAGAGGTTGTGTGGTAAAGAAGATGGAGTGGGTTGGGCTGAATGGACAGATTGGGATACGCTACCATTCAACTCAATGGGGTCTGTTGACAGTTTTAACTTTTTTGATAGAGGTCAAATTAAAAGAAAAAAAGGCGCAAATAGAATATGCTTTAAAAATCTAGAGTACAACGATTGAAGTTGTAAAAAATATTAAACCATCAATGAAAAGTATATGTTTTTAATGGATAGGGCATACGTCACTAATAAAGTAAGACAATAGTACACGACACTTAATTACAATTTAAGTTTAAACATAGTCAAACTTCGAGAAATTTTTAATGAAATAAATGGTTCTTTTAATCCAGATGTTAATGATGATATTTATTATAAAAAAATCCAACCTATTTAACAAAGTTTAATGGTGAACAATGAACATCATTATTAAAATTTGTATAAATTATAAAATTTATATCTTCTAATTTTAATAGTTTAGTCATCACATTAACCAGTTTTTAAACCAATAATGAACGAGGTTTTTAAACCAAAAATGAACGCAGTTCTTAAACCAATAATGAACGCAGTTTTTAAACCAATAATGAACGCAATTTTTAAACCAATAATGAACGCAGTTTTTAAACCAATAATGAACGCAGTTTTTAAACCAATAATGAACGCTTTTGAAGCTCTTAAAGATATATTTAATAACGTTTTTAAAAGTATGAGGTAGGAAGATTACTCCAAAAGATTTAAACGATGTTACTGTAAATTTGAAAATTATCGGTGAGGAAACAGGCGTTAAATTTGATTATTGTGGAAACAGGGGTTAAATTTGATTGGTGGAGGAAACAGGCGTTATATTTGAAAAAAAAGACGGCGAACATCTTTTTTTTAAAAAAAAAACTAGCAGAGGCAGAAGCTAAAAATAATTTAGCATCAAAATAAGTTAAATTCTTTGGAGGCAAGCCCGATAAAGGTGGTGACAAGCCAGACTCATACAAAGGCGGAGGCAAACCCGATAAGAGCGGTAACGGTGGTGACGGCGGTGACGGGGACGGAGAAAAAGGTGGAGGCAGTGAAGATTAACCCAGAAAAATTTTAAAAATGTTTAAACACCATGAAAACGCATTAAGGTGGCTTGCTGATAAAGTGTAATAATTAATCCTAATGATAGAGAGCGTATTATGGTAGTGTTTTAAAAAAAAGGCTACAATTGTTATTTAATTATCGCTGCTGCCGCATTAATACGGATAGTAATCAAACGCTAAAATCAGAAAAAGCGGAACGTAAAAAAAGAAAAGAAAAGTATAACATCTAAACGTGTTACTACAGACCTGAAACGAGATTATATCTAATAATAAATAAAGAAATTAATTTTTAGGAATGGAAATCATTTGTGATTCAAGACACCGCAATAAATAATGGAAGACTAGAAAAGATAGCAAATATTGTACTATCCCTGCAGATTATAAAATATATTTTGATTGGCTACCACAATATTGCATTACAGATAATGATTAAGCTGAATATACGGTGCTGGTTAACAAACCGCTAGGTTGGAGCGATAAACATTACATTGGGAGTGGGTTGCATTACTATTCTAATAGCGAGTTTAAAAAAGGTTTTTTTTATAATTCTCTTGAAAAATTGCCTAGTCACCTTCTCCAATCGGGAGATGTTTAAGTTACAAATGATATTGCTTTTACTATGGGAGAAGCTAGCGGGTGCCCCTTAACAATATATGATATTAAAAACCCCATTATTTTTATTGTTAAAGATTTCAGCTTCAAACCAAAATATAAAAAAACTTATTTTATACATATTCTTATAGAATATATATAATATCAGGATTATACTCAATGTGATGATGTGAGTAATATACCACTTTGCGGTTTGCATGGTAATATCTGCTTGAGGTATGAATATGTTGATTATATATTGCACTGATCTTCTAACACAAGCTTTGTTCCAATTTCATATTTATTTTATTGCATGTCGTATCTTTTGGCGGTAGCGTTTTACTCTCAATTGAAGAACATTTTAACTCTTATGTACAGATTAGATTTCTGAAAAAATTGATGGGATTTACAAACCCAGTCTTTTAGAATCTCTTTGATAATATGCTATTTATTACTTTCTCAGAATCTCTTCGAGAATATGCTAAATTATTAGCGGTTTATCGCTGAAAATAGACAGCCAAATTGAATTTAACAACAAGTTAGTTGCTCCTTTAAATGCCTCTTTAAGTTTAACAAACATAAATTAAATAAAAGGTAAAGAAGAACCAAAAATGAACATAATCGGATCAAAAACAGATACTAAAACGGATGAAACAAATGGTGAGGCAACTATTCTAGTTGTAAAACAGACACAGTCAGATCATATACGAACGCAGGCAGATCAAAGAGAGACAAAACCAAAGGACACAAGCACAAATCCAACTGAGACAAAACCTGGTAGTGGTAAATACGTTAACACAAACAAAAATAGAATTAAAGAACGAATACTTACCAGCTATGGGAGCTCCAAAGTGTAATATGGCACACCTTTCAACCTTTTCTGTTAATTGATCAGCTTAAATTTAAATTTTATAAACGTGATGGAACAGTAGTCAGTTTCTATGGAACTTTTCTTGTATTTGAGACTCAAGAAAGACCTTGCTGAAAATTAAAGGATAACACAAATTCCAAAAAATAAAAACATTTACAGCATGAAAATTTTTAAAATCTATAACGTAGGTCTATCTACTGGTAGCTCTATACAGTAATACACGTAAATGCCCCCGTCGGTATAGAATTGGCTGCGATCGGTGCGGTGAAACGAAATCGCATGTGCGGTGAAACAATATTTGCAGCGGTAAAACGATATCGCACGCTATAAACGTCAGCCACTAAGGCGGCTTCCTTTCTAAAAAGGGATATCTTGCTTAATGAAGGCGAGCATTCAATTGAAAAATTCAAAGATAATAAAAAGTATAATCTAAGATCTAATAGAAACAAGAACTATAGGCTCTCAGAATCTTGTATATTTTATTAGAAAATTTTAAAATTAAATTTCTTTTTTTGTTCGTAATTTAAACGAATTAAAGGACTTCACCATAAAATTTGTAATTCCTTTTGACTGTCATTTCATAATTTAGGTCCTCGATAAGATATACAATATTCTGCGAGTTTATTACATTTTCGAGCAATTTAAAGTTGTTGCATCAATTTGATTTTAGATAATACCTTTTATTTAGATTTATTTCAAACTTATTGTTGAAGTTTGCTGGTAAGCAAACTTCAACTTATTGTTGAAGTCTGCTGGGTTATAACCACAAATAAGTAGCCTCCTCGTCCTTGAGGAGGTGAATTAAATTAAAAAAAAAAAAAAAAAAAATTCATTAAAAAATTGACTGAAAAAATGACTTTGAAAAGGAACTTTTTTTTAAAGTAATTTTTTCAGTCAGATTTTTCAAAATTATTTATTTGAAAAATTATTGGTGGGGACAAATGCCCGTGCTCCTTTCCCTCCCCCTCCTGTTTGCTTTGGGCCTGAATCTATATGGCTACTCCAATTATATATAAATATGTATTATATATCATTGAGCTAATCAAAAAACAAAATTAGAAATATTGGGATTCCGGTGTCGGAGTTATAATTATAAATATACGGCAATAATTAATAAGCAAACAACCGGTATAAAACTGTTCGTTTTTATTAATTTGCGATTATGATTTCGATTTGAAAAAAATAAAGAAATTGTATTAACTTTATCTCCCTCAAAGTGTTTAAACAAATTAGAAATACTAATCAGAAGGCATCTGCAGTCTTTTATTACAGATTCAGGTCTGCAATAAGGATAGGCAAGGGTTATTGGGTGAGTTTTGATATGAAAGGGTTTGATTGTGACACAATCAAACCCTTTCATATCAAAACTCACCCTCATATCAAACTCATATCAAAATGCACACAATTTGTGTGCATGTTTTGCCTAAGTAAAGAAAAAACTTAAATTTATCATTTTTTAGATCTATAATATAGATCTAAAATATATAGACTATATCCAAAAAGGTATTATTGTTATAATTATCATGATTAAAAGAAAAAAAAAGAAAAAAGAAAAGTTCATAATTTTTTAGATCTATAATATTATTATAGATCTAAAAAATGATGAATTTTTTTTTTTGCTTTTGGTGTAATAAAATTTTTTCAACACTTGGTACAACATGCACACAATCAATCCCTCCTAGTTATATATATATATATATATATATAATATATATATATATATATATATATATATATATATATATATATATATATATATATATATATATATATATATATATATATATATATATATATATATATATAGTGTATATATATATATATATATTATATATATATATATATATATATATATATATATATATATATATATATATATATATATATATATACTATATATATATTATATATATATATATATATACTATATATATACTGTATATATATACTATATATATATATATATATTATATATATATATACATATATATATATATATATATTATATATATATATATATATATATATATATATATACATATATACATATATATATATATATATATATATATATATATATATAAATATATATATATATATATTATTATTATTATTATTATTATTATTATTATTATTATTATTATTATTATTATTATTATTATTAAATCATGTTTTCTAGTAGACGATCCTGCAAAATGTTATAAATTAAGAAGTTTTTTGCATAAAGTTTTTTTTAAATATGGAAAATCTTGAAACATGGCTAGCAGAAGAAAACTCAATTATTCAAAAGGAAGACAGTGAAAAGCAAGTATATTTGTATGACTGGCTTTATAGACTCAATGAATATCTTCTTAGTAAAGGTTCTTCAGAGGTAAATTTTATTATTTTATTTTATAAATTATTAGCTACATATATTCAAGAGAATTTATAGGTTTATTTAAATTATAAAAAGTTATAAACGGAATCAAATGGAATCAAATATCTCTAGCTTAAAAATCTCTTATTTATTATATAAATTGGCATTCTTTAAAAAAGAAAATCATAGGGAGTATTGATTAAGAACTTTTTTATACCAAGCTGCTTATTTTTTTGCCAGATAAAAGCAGAGCATTAAATGCTATTATTTTTGAAAGAATGCACCATTCAACTACGCTAATTCTTTTCTCCATTTACTTGACTTTTGAAAAAAAATTATATTGTACCCTGTCGCAGGTTTCCAGCACTAATGACTTCTGCAAAATACTGCTAACTGCTAACTAATGCTTGGGCCTTGCTTCTAATTGTGATCAATAAACATTAAAACATATAATTATAAATAAACATTAAAACATATAAAAATATAAAAACGTATAATTTTATAGGCTTATATATACCAACAATACGCATATATTGTTGGTATATATAAGCCTATAAAATTATACTTAGCATAAATTTATATACTATAACAATGTAAAAAGAAGTATTTTTAGATAAAACAAATTTTTTTTAGAATTTTAATGTAAACTATAGGGGAGAGCAGGTAGCATTCTTACACTTTTTACTCTAATTCATTTTAAAGAAAAACCAATAGCTATTTTAAAATACTTTCAATGCTAGTGAATTTTTTTTTTTTTAATTTTAATTTTATTTTAATTCACCTCCTCAAGGCCGAAAAGACCACTACAGAAAAGGAGGCTACTTATTTGTGGTTATAGCCCTCTCTCAACTCTATAACTCCAAAACACAAACCATGACGAACAAGGTTACTGCGCGGAGAAACGAGTTGAACGCGTTTCCGAGTTCAATCTCTACCAGGGATGTGGTGGAGATTGAACTGGGAACCACTTGTTTATGAAGCGAGCGCTCTACCACTACACCACTACCGCATTATTATCTAGATATCTGGCTTTAATAATTTTGTTTGTCTGTGTTGATATAAAGTAACATGGCGAAGCTATAACAATTCTCCCAAAAAATGGATATTGTACGAAAGCACCCCACGCGCGGGGTACCTTCGTACATAGAGTAGAGTGCATTCAATTGTAACTATTTATAGGAAAAGGAACGTTTATTGCGATTAAAATTGAAACCGAATAAACTTTTAACTTATTAATAATCTTCAATATATTATTTTACAAATATTGTTTTACATAAAGGATCTACTATTGCACATTATGCATTGTAAGATCTTTTTTAAATATGAATAAATTGGCTATTCTTGCTGTAGAAGCACATTTGAGTGGCGGCAATCTCAGACCATGTCTGATAAGTAAATCTTCCCTTTGTCTTTGTTATTAGAAAAAATAATTTCCAGGTACTCGGCTTCTTTCTCAGAAATGAAACTTTGTATTCCATAGGGTTGTACTTGGTTACCACCTGTCCAATATAATATAAAACGGTCTTTTTCTTTTCAAATTTCACTAACACAAAAGTTTTTCTTTAATATTTTCCTTCATAACAAGAAATTTGTTCTCAATATCAGATTCTTCAGACATCTCTTCGAAGGGTGAACAAGAACTTTCACTTAAACTTATATCAGTTTCATCTTCGCTATCAGTCTCAATAGTTTTTTTCTGTTTCTTTAGTTTGGTTTTTATATTTGTGTTTAAGAGCAAATTTAATGAAGGCTTCAACTCCTGAGCCTTTTTTTTACTCTCTTGATCTTGTTTCTTCATTTCTTTTGAGAAGAAATGAAGAAACAAGATCAAGAGAGAAAAAGATTTCCACTAACTGATATAATTCCCTAAAATGTTACTAGTACTCCCCTTTCAGCCGAAACAAGCTGACCAATTTGTTTTAGATTTTTTTGCGACAACATTTGCGGCGTAGTCATCACTGTAGACACCCCTGACTCATTAAAGTTATAAATCCTATCTGCAAGCAATGCATATTTTACTACTAAGGAACTTACAAAAGATTCTTAAAATCTTTTCTAGGTTCGCATAGAAATCAGTAACAGCTGTCTTGTTGAATCCAAAAGAACGTGCTGCGCTGGTGCTTTCAGGCTTCCTTAGAATTAAATTTGCTTTACGTCTATGGTAACTGTCAAGTCATTCTTTTCCAGCCATTTTGTTATGATTCCAGCTAGGTGGATATTTTAGTGGATTTACATTAGCATATTCATATGCAAGTCTTTGAATTTGTACGATTGTCAACCCTTAATGCATTTTAAAACATTTCATAATGTATTTGTTCAATAGAGTCTCTTCTTTGGCAGTAAACACTTGGTTTGATGTAAATTTAGAATTTAACACACGCGACAGAGTGTTGTTAGCAGCTTTTTTATGGCAGTTAATTAGGCAACTTTGAAGTGTTGGTTTGATGCCATATTTTTGTGCGGACTTCCTAATAGATTAAGTTTTATGTAAAACATTGTTTATCGCAGACTTCATTGCTTCTTTATCTAACTCTTTCATTCTAGTCTCTTTTTTTATGTATATTGTTGTATTATCTTAAAATAATAATAATTTTATAAAAAAAATTTTCCAAACTCACTTGGGGAGGATTTGTACAGTAGGAATCCTCCCCACGATTAAATGTACGAAGGTACCCGAAACGAAAAAAACAACGTATAAACTCAAAATAACAGTTAAGGTTAGCACAAAAGTTGATGCTTACATATTAATTTAAGGCACTTATTTATTAACAATATTAGCAATACTTATTACAAATATATGTTTTCAAAGATGGATAGTAAAATTATTTTTGTTGTGTAAAAGCGCTTATTGACTTGTCGCGAAGAAGGTTACTGAGGCACTGCGGTTCTTACACACAATAATACAAACTTGTCAACACCTAAAATTTGGTACATATAACCACTGTACAAATGCTTCCTGTGTACAATTCCTACCTGCTCTCCCTTATAAAAAAAAAAGAAAACTCTTTATAGGGCTCATGCTGAAGTCTCTGAATTTGAGACAGGAGCTTTGAGAAAAGTTTTTTATTTTAAATTTGTTAATGGCCAGAAATCATGAAATCTGATTACTATTTGCTTAATGAATATTACTATTTGTTAAGCGAATAGTATTATTCATTAGGCAAATTACTATTTGTAAAGCAAGTAGTACTGTTGATTGTTTAACAAATATAATGTTTGTTAAACGAATAGTACTATTTGTTAAACAAATAGTACTATTTGCTATGAATCTAATTTTTTTCAGTAGACTTAAGATGAAATATTGATATACAATTAAACTCTTTACTTGGGATTTTGGGCCACAGTCTTCATTTTACCTCCAAATATCATGAATTTACAATTTAATAATTTTGAACAAAATCAGATAAACAAGGTATTTTCTTTACAAAAAATATTTAACTAATAAAAATGTTTAGGATTCGAATAAATTCAATTTCATCAAGACAATCGAGTCTTGAGGGTGCTATTTTTGGATTCCTCAAGTAAAAATTTATTGGGGTAGCAAAGGAAATTTCCCCAAGTCATTATGAAGATACTGTATATCAAAGTTGCTTTGTAGTCGGTTCAGATAATCACTAAAATGCTGAGTCAGCATTATTTCAACTGATGATATCTCTGGAACACATATGTATTTTTAGCTAAAATTTTTGCAGTTATTATTTTTTAATATGGACTGCAAGTGTGGCAAAAATGAACATATTCTGAGAGGTTAGGGTGTCATGGTCTGGATAATTTCATATAGAATGACCCTATATACAGTAACAAATTTACAAGATAGTGCAAGTGACAAGAAAGTTTTATTAGAATCCTAAACTATTAGTTGTTGTGGTCGGTCTGTTACATTATTAATTTATAGTGGCTGTTTTCCACAATTTAATGTTGCAAAACCTTAACTAATATTCTTTTAGAAAATCGCCTTCAGCTTGAAAAAATTAATCAATCTGTAAAATTAACATAAAAAGTATGAGGAGGTAAAATAATTTACCAACTACTACTTAACATTTACAATTACTACTTAACATTGTTTGAGTAATTTACAAATGGCATAGGTCATAACAGTGTAAGGCAGAACCATTTTCATCGACCTTCCTAAGTTTAACACAATACGTTTTTAGTTACTGACACAAAATAATAACACTTCGTCATGCTTTAAATTAACGAAAGTATCAACTAAATCCTTGTGATAATTTTTATAACGCAAACCATTAAGTTTAAAATGAAGTTAAATTATATTATACAGGAGTATTCAATTTTTTGGTATCCCCTTGATTAATTTTTCTTTAGAAAAGAAAATTGTTAACTTAAAAATGTTAAATGCACACATTTAAATAAATTTATTAAAAATAACAAATTATGATATCATAATTACAAAGAAAAAATGATTTTTTTTTTTCTTTGAAATTATGATATCATAATTACAAAGATAAAAAAAAAAAACACTACACAGTTATCGAAAATCGATATACCTATTTATAGTAACCTATTTTGAAATTGCAGTTAAAGATTTATCGAAAATGTAACTATAAAATCTGTTTCGAAGTACAAAAGCATTAACAATACTAAAAAAAAAATCAAACTAAGATATAAATTGTTGTCTTGGCTTTTATAATTTAAACATATATACAACTATAAACAAATATGACTTTATGTAACATGTATAAACACATTTTACAACTATTGAAAGATAGATATATTTATCAAAAACTATGTAAAAAAATAAATAATGATAAATAAAGTTATACATACAAAATGTGCTCACAACCTATAACAGTAAATTTTTGAAATGAAAATCTTAAGACTATAAGTTAAGAACATTAAAAAATATAACAATATTTATGTTACATTTTTTTACCTACTATACCTTGAATAAGATGTTTATCAATTTTGAAAAAACAAACTATTAAATGCTCTAGTTCTTGAAAATGCAACATATAGTTGACCATGAGAGAAACACGGTTTTTGAGATATTTCTTTTGTCTATATGTTTAATTTCGCGTTACGTAATATATAGACGATCCCTAAAAGAAAATACTTGAAACTAAAAAGATTTTATTTATTACAATATTTGAACAACTAAGGGACAATTTAAAGAATTATATCTTTAAATAGCAAATTATCAATCGCAGTATTAAAAAATACGCAAGAGCTCAGTAATTACATGAGTTTAATCAATTCTCTCTCTATAATTCTCAATACTTATTCTTATTTAAGTCTCATCTAAGAGAGAGAGAGGAAGTGTTTTAAAAACAGCACATTAGAAAAAGTAAAAAAGTCATGCAATAAATAACAGTAACTGGTTTTATTATGCTACCAATAAATAAAATTATTTTTACCTTAACTAAAAGTTAATTTCCAGAATTTCTTAATTAAGTTCCAGCTTCTCTCTAACTGTTGACAAATGATTAATATTGTAAATTTCACATTATATTAAATTTACAAAATTAAAACCATGTTTCAACAGTAAGCAAAATAATCAAGTGATGACAAAGACAACTAAAAAAAAAATGAACACAATTATGTTTAAGATTACAAAAAAAAAAAAAAATTAAAATCATTTAAAATTGAAACTTTTATTATTTGTTACTATAAATAGTAAAATTCCTACTTTGCTTTATTTTAAAGTGTCTAATGTAAAATCAAATAATAGACATCAACACCGCTTGACACTGAATTCTGGCAAGTAAGTTTTCTGTTCATCAAGCAAAGTTTCTTATATTTTAACGACTATTAATTTTATCACACCTAGATCTATTTCTTTCATATGACAACAATTTCAAGTCACCTATAACCATTTACACTAATAACTTCTTCGAGCCTAATATTATACATCTGTTATCATTAAATATATTACCAGTGATTATACTACTGTTACAACTGAATAAATGAACGTTTTATAATTTTTCAATTGAAAAATATAAAACAAAATTTACTGACATTATTTTAATTTAGCAAAGAATTTAGACTACAATCCAAAGTTATTTTTACCTTCAGGCACAATCTTAATGCACAAAAATAATAAATGCAGAATCTTGTATAAATAATGAAGCAATGTCAGTCTAAAGTAATACATATATGAATGTCTATATATTCAAATTTTTTCTATTCTTTTTAATTTTTTTTATGAGATAATATTTATATAGATTCAGAGAAATATAAAATATTCTGATATATAGGCACATTTATGTATATAAACTTACCTGTCAAAAGTTACAGTCAGTTTTCCATGTTATGTTCCACATAAAATATATATCTAATATAAAGTAAAACAAAACATTAAACTTACTCAAATATAACCAAGAACAAACAAACATTTATTTATTAAAACTACTCTATTTAAACAAATTAAATTAAACAGAGAACAACATTGATTCTCTTTGAAAGCTGAAAAACTTTTCAGCTCAAATTTGCTTGCAGACCTTGATTATAAAACCACTTGAATAAGAAAAGCATCAAAAAAGCCCAGAAGCTACTTAAAAATGGTATATGTAACATTGAACTTTGAATGTTGACTGGAGTAGATATTTTTAAAAAATTCAAAATGATTTGTTCATCTATAGCAAATAAAACCACTATAAATCTGAAGTTAAAAATGTAACAAATAAGTAAATACAAAGAAAAACATCATATGTGAATTGAAAATCAATGTACCTGATGGAGATAAGCTGTTGTGATACCTTGAATGAATTTTAGTAAATAAATAAAAGCAGTGAGTTCTAGTAATGAAACAACGTATTAATCATTTTTAACAGCTGACACCAACATAAAGATAAGCAAAGGTAACAACATTACGCAAAAAATTATTAAAGATAATGCAATATGTTTTCAGAATAGTTATATTAAAGGCTAGGCAACACTTAGACCTAAAGCAGTAACATCGCTTGACTGGTAAGGTTGATAAATCTTGCTCTACACATATGCCAAGTCACTCCACTTTGAAATCATGGAAACAACATTATATAAACATACTATTATAAAAACACATTTATATAAACATGTTTATAAAACAACTATATAACATATATCACTACATACGCGTATTTATCAAAAAATTTTTAACTTTGAGCATATTATTATACATATGCGGTAGTAGTGTAGTGGTAGAGCGCTCGCTTCATAAACAAGTGGTTCGGAGTTCGATCCTCACCACGTCCCTGGTAGTTTCGCGCTCAACTCGGAGTTATAGAGTTGACAGAGGATTATAGCCACAAATAAGTAGCCTCCTCGTCTGTAGTGGCCTTCTCGGCCTTGAGGAGGTGAATTAAAATAAAAATTAAAAAAAAAAAAAAAAAAAATATTATAAATGCAAACATATATGCAAACTTTTAACAACTATAAAACAACATTTATTAGCATCAATTATTTTTAATGTAACAAAGAATGCAGACTACAATGCACAACATTGTTAATAAAAATGAAGTTATGTCAGCCAGTATATATTTATCTAAAGTAATGAAAAAGAATAAGCCATTTAAAAACAAAATTAAAAATTTCTAATGAATATATATTTAGATACCTTAAAATGAAGCATAACACAACACTCTTTTGACAAATTCCAGAACAAATTTTCTTAATTTTTCTATTCCTTATTATTTTTCCTTAGAGAAAATATACATATAGATATAGAGAAATATAAAATAAACTGAAATAAACGCAAACTTATGTATATAAACTTACATGACCACAAAAAACAGTCGTATCTTATTTAACTTTTCATATTAAATACATAAATAAAATTTTATTCTCATTATTCTTTCTATAAAAAAAAAATCTTAGCTTATGTATGAGAAAATAAATTGAACTTACTAAAAAAGCGATCAGTTCCTCTTAACTGCTCTAAAAAATAAAGCAAATACTTGCTTAAAATAATTTAAAAAGACTAATGACAAAACTGAAACAGTTTTCTTAAAAAAGAAACATTGTACTAATAAAACTATTTTACCAGTCAATTTTGTTCTAACTTCTTCTAAAAAATGAAAAATAAATACATATTTAGATACCTTAAAATGAAGCATAACACAACATTCTTTTGACAAATTCCAGAAGAATTTTTTTTTTTTTCTATTCTCAATAGTTTTTGCTAAGAGAAAATACATATAGTATAGATATAGAGATATATAAAATATATAAAAATAAACGCAAACTTATGTATATAAGCTTACATGAATACAAATAACAGTCTTGTTTTATTTAACTTTTCATATTAAATACATATATAAAGCTTTATTTTATATATAATTCTTTTTGCAAAAAACAATCTTAATCTATAAATAAGAAAACGAATTGAACTTACTAAAAAAACCATCAGCTTCTCTTAACTGCTCTAAAAATTAAAACAGTACTTGCTTAAAATGTTCTAAAAAGACTAACAACAAAATGAAACAGTTTACTAAAAAAGAAACATTTTACTAAAAAAACTGTTTTACCAAACATTTTAGTTCTAACTTCTTCTAAAAAATAAAAACAGGCTATAAAAATTAGAAAAAATAAAAATAAGCAACAACAAACTAACAATTATTTAAATTTTTATTTTAAAAAATAAACAACATCAATTCTTCTTGAAAATAAGTGTATCAGCTCCAATTTGCTTGCTGATTTTACTTGAAAGACCACGTGGAATATATAACTGCGCTTAGAAAAGTCTAGAAACAACTTAAAAACTAAGAAATACTGTATTTTACATAATGCAGAACCGTAATTAACAAAATGAACAATAGGCGTAACAATGCGTAATTATGCGCACTAATAATATTCATTGCCGTATTAATATTTAGATTTTTTGTAAAGGTCTAACATAAGGTACAAAGGTAAATAAGTTCTTCTGCAAAGGAAAATAAGGTCTTCTACAAAGGTAAATAAGGTCTTTTATTTTTTTTAAGGTCATTTTTTGTTTCTTGAAAATAGTTTAGTAGAAACATTCTATTGCAAACATTAAACAAAACTAAATTATAGAAAATTATTGCAATTAAATTGAAAAAAAAAAAAAAAAAATTATTTTTTTTTTTAAATTTAAATTTTAAATTTAAATAAAATTTTAAATTTCAATTTAAAATAGATTATTCTAACTCTGTTCAAAATGTTTTTTTTTTCAAAAAAAATTTAAGCATATATTCAGGCTAACAAAAAATTATTTAACTTGATAAACTAAGTTTTTTTTCCTCACTTTATTTATGACAAAACAATCTGAATGAAATATTTGAATCAAAATATCAACTTAAAAACCCTATAAACGAAAAAATTAATTATAAAAATTTATTTTTAATGGTGCGCTAGATGAAGAAACAATATATTAGAAAGAACATAGTATCTAATAAGTTAAATATTTTATTTCATTGTATTTTTTCACTTCATTTTATTTTAAACATATTTTGTGTTTTTAATGTTATAAATTGTATAAAATAACAATAAAACAACATATACAGTGATTACATAATAAGAGAATACATTTTTTAAAATTGTATTTGGATTGTGCTATATCTATTTTTAGCAGGGTGAATTAAAAAGTATACAACCAAAGATCATCACTACTCTTCATAAAATTGTTGAAATTAACTGTAGCCCTACAACTAGAACACAATTAGCAAAATGTTTTGCAACTGTTTATCATACTGGAACAACATTGGGTTTGTTTGACAGTGTAAGCAAATGCATTGACCTAATCAAAAGTCGAGATGACTCACCTAACCAGCTTCCAGTGAAGTTGTAAGTTTTTTGATTTCAATGTTACAATATTCCTAAATCAAAGTTATGGCTTGATGCAAATGAGATTTTCTGTCTGGTTGCAGGGCGCAACAAATCGACAAATGTGCAAATGTTTGTTTAAAAAAAGACGTAAAAACGAACGTCACGTTTCATTACTTTTACTTAAGCAAACGTTGGTGTTTGCTTAAATTTTTTAAAAATGAACTCATAACTTCAGCAATTTTTTTTTCTAAATAATTGTACGATAAATAGTATTTTATTTTTTATAGAAAAAATATTATTGATATAAAAAAAATAAGTTACTAAAATTTAAAACGCAGTTTCAATGACATTAAAAGAAACCGTGCTTTAATAGCTTTTTTTTTAAGTTAGCAACTGTAAAAAAAGTTATGTTTTAGCGTGGTTTTTACATGCGTTTACAAAAGAATGGCAAATTTAAGTTAAAATGAATGCACTTGCATTACTTGAAACGAAACCATGCTAAAACATACTTTTTTTTAGAAGCGTGCTTTTTTAAAAATTTTCTTATTATCATTAAATTAATAAAGTTTACTTGCCGTTTTTAAAGTTTTGAAAAAAAAATTTGCAGAAATATGTATAATTTAATAGAATTTATAGAACTATTATGTTTATTATAGTTTTCATTTTTTACTGAGCGTTTAACAACACCAATAATATGATATTTTTTTATTAAATACTTAATATCATAAATATAATGATATCATATCAGGTATTTAATAATAACTTATTAAATTATAAATTTAATAACTTATTAAATGCTTAATATTATATTATTATTTTTAAATGTTTTAAAAAAGAAATGTCAAAATATTTTTTGTTTTATTTTTAGTTCCCTTTTATTTAAATTTCATCAAGTATGTATCTTTTATTTAAAAGTTAATAAACTAAATTGAGAAAAATTCACTTAATATTTGTATTAATAGATAACAGTTTACAGTCAAAAGGTTATTGCATATTAGTTATCATTAATTTCCGCACACTTTGCAAACGCGTGAAAAATTGTTTTAAATTAATAAAAAATTGATAAAATTCAGTTAGTATCTTTGATATATCTAATTAATATATATGTTATTAACTAAAAGTTAATTAAAAGTTATTTAAAAATAAAACTGGAAGCTTAATAAAAAGTTATTTAAATTGAAAAGAAAAAAAAAATTGAAAGAATTAAAAATAAAACTGGCTTATTCTTGCAGACGACAAGGGTTCGAAGTGGAGGTGTGCAACCATCTATTTATGAAAAAAGTCCTCTATATCTAGAATTTCTCTTAAATTAAAAAAAAAAAAACCTTTAAAAAAAAGGGTATGTGGGGAGGATGAGGGGGCGGTGCATTAGGGGGGTACATATTTGACATTAAACTCTTAAATTAGACGTTTATCAATAAATAAAGAAACGAACGCCAACGTTTATTAAAAAAAAACGATTTGTCGCGCCCTTGGTTGTAGAAGTTTAGTTCAATATTAATATACCTAAGTGTGAATTGGTACAAGTGTGTCAAATAATTTTACAAATTTTAAAAACATGCTTATAAGCAAACAGCTAACTTTTATTTAAGCAGAAAAGTTAATGCATTGAATGAAACATTGTAATAAATTTAAAATAATGCGAATTTTTTTTAAAATGCAAGTTATTTGATTAAAAATGAATTTTTTTTATTTAATGATTTAGAGCAAAACCATTTCATCCAAAAAAAATTTCATCAACTAAGAATTTTAGCTCTTGATTGTCCTTAATACTTGTTTTAAACTAAAGTTGCAGCATTTTTTTCAGCAAAAAATAAATAGTTTATGCCATGCCATCATGTTTGATGAAATGGCATAAATTAAATCAGAAAGATTTCCAGTTTTTATTTATTACCTTTCAGTAAGCAATAGATAGTTCTATTAGTTCTAATTAAATTGTTTACACAAATAGATTTTTGCTGTTTTTAGGTAAAAAAAGGCATATCTGACCTGTTGTCAATAGTATCTTTAAGATGCTTTTTAACAAAATCAATACATTTTTTAATAGAATTAATTCCAGTTGTCTCTAAACATTTTAAATAGTGAATCTGGACTGTGATTTTTGGTTCAAAGACACTTTTAATAACCAGTTCAAAAATTTGATAGAGACAAACAAAATGTCTATCTATCTGAAGTTGCAACTATTTTACATTTGATAAAACATTTTCTTCTTTATAATGTTGCTCAAAAAAAGTCTTTAATTCAATACTTTGCATGACCTCCACAAACCTTTACACAGGCTCAAATACATTTAGGCATAGATTTAATCATACTTACATAACTTCCACATAATATAATTCATACATAATTTCTTTGGAATTTCGTTCCAAATTTTTTTCAGTGTAAGTTTCAGTTGTGCAATGGTTTCCACATTCTCTCTTGATAGTTTCTGATCCAATCATGACCATATTTTCAATGGAACTCAGATTTGGTGATAGTGCTGGCCAGATTAGAAAAGTAATATGTTGCCTTTTAAACCACTATTATACCAAGTTGGCAGTATGTTTCGTTTTGCCATCTTGTTAAAAAATCCAAATTTTTATGCCTTCTAAAAAATGATCTTGCAGTAGGTAAAAGTTTAATTTGTAAAGTCTCTTTCTAATTATACTGGTTAGTTCTACCTGTATAAATATTTTAAAATCTTATCCTTTTTGAGAAATGCTTTTCTATATATACCAATGGAGCTGTCACCACCATGTACTCTTGATACACAAAATCTTTCCTTAGATTTCTCCTATGTTAATCTTTGTTTTATTCATTGATTCAAGTTCAATGTTGTACTTTTAATTTAACATTTACCTCTTTTCAAATATTTATCTTCTAAATAATTGATACATTTTGATGATTTTCTGTGAGGGTCAGATCAGTCAGCTCAGTTGACCAACTTAATCCAACTATTTTGAAGATCTAGATAATTGATATCAGGAAAGCTTAAGACTGTTTTGAATGGTTGCTGTTACTAGAACATTTTTTGGTCTTTGCTTGTAATCACTAACAAAAGTTGTTAACAACTCTGGCTTTAGGTTACAACTAGAGTTGTTGGCCACATGTTTCAAATCAAAAAAAGTATAAATAAATCAAAAATAAATAAAGTATAAATAAGTAATAAACTATAATTTTTACTATAGCTATAATAATATAATAAAAACTATTTTAATTCAAAAAAACCCTATTTTTAATTTTAAGAAAAATTTGCGTGTTTAAATCTTTTTTAAATTTTGAAATGTTATAATTTAAAAAAAGTGTTAAAATGCGACTTAATAGGCCGGGTGAATAAAAATAAACAATTGCATTTACTCAGTAAATGGTCAGCTTTACTAAATAAAAACTTTAGCAAATTTGCTACAGCTTTTTACTTACGTAAAGCTGAGCAATTACTGAGCAAATTGCTTAACTTTACGTGATTAAAACTTTAAGCAAAACTGCTGAAGTTTTTATTCACGTAAAGCTGACCAATTACTGAGTAAAAGCAATAGCTCATTTTTATTCAGATGTAATCTATATATTAAGTCCAGTTAACCAATCATGTTATTGATTATTGTTTTAAAATGGCTAGTCAAAAATGGCAACTTAAGCCATACTATAAAAACATAAAATTAAGTTCTAAAGCTTTTAGTAAACAAAAATAACTCTTGTAAACAAAATCAACTGTAGTAAATTTTTTAAAATGCAAACACAAAAAAAATTCTGAATTCAATAAGAAAAGGTGAAAGGTCAAGGCCAAAGCATTCAAGACCAATACCAAAGCCAACAGTTTCGAGGCCAAGGTCTAAATTTTTGGCCTTAAGGCGATGCCAAGGACTAATGACTGCCTTCAAAACAGTAGTTTTTCAGCATTGAAAATTAAAGTATATCATATTAAAAAACTTATATAATTTAGGTCATATAAATGTTATTAAATCTATTTATTTGTAAATTTTAAAATCTCAATATTTCCATCCACTATATTTTCTCCTTCAAGGCAACAAAGGTTAGTCAGTTTTAGAATGATCCAAAAGTAGCTTTGTAATTTTGAAGAAAACACAGACCTAAAATGTTTTCGCTAGCTATTGTGCATGGGAAGTTTTTATAAAAATTGAAAACTTTTGAATCATCCTAGCTAAACTTGTTTTAATCATGCTCGATGTCATTTAATTTGCAAATTCATTTTTTACAATTTGTAGAACTATTTTTGAGAATAAAATGAATGAAGATTTTAACATATTAGTTTTTTTAATTATTCCATACTCTTTAGCTAATAAGCTTTTGTTTTTTGTCTGCTAACAAGTTTAAATAAACAAAACACTTTATTTAAAAGCAACTTACAAAATTAAATTAAATCAAAATTTAAAACTCATTTTTTCAAAAACTTATTTAATTGCAAACAATTTGCCTTTCTCATTTAACTTTTCTTTACGAAGAAAGGAAATAAATATGAACGCAATTTGAATTGAAATAAATATGTAACTGCTTAGAATTAAAAAAGTTTGAAAATAATTTATAATTTTACAATCATAAAATATATAAAATTCTACTATTCCTGCTGAATTTTATAACCCACTTCTTATAAATGAGTTTTTTTTTATAATTTGAAAAACTAATTTATAAGAAGTTAAAAGAATTTATAAGATTAATATCATTTATTTTATTTTATTTTATTTTTTTATGTTTATTTAATTTTATTAACTTCTAAGAGTAAGAGTGTCTAAAAAACTGTTTTTTTACTTTTTTAATTGTTCATATCAATTGACTTAGGAAAGCGTGGGCACAAGCTAATATATTAGCTTGTGCCCACACTTCCCAGTAAAACAGAGGTAAAAGAGATAAAACCAGAGATGGAAATGCAGATGGGGGGTGGAGGTGGAGGGGCTGTAAGGGGAAAGTGTTTGGACTGCTCCAAACAATGAGTTTTAGTTCAGCCAGTGAAGAAAAAGTTTAATGATTTGTAAGTTCCATTATAAAATAAACAATATAAAATCCCTGTATTGCTAAAATGCTGTTTAAAGTTTACTTCTGGCTAAGACCCTAAGTATATCACTTATTTCATTAAATAATGTATTTTTAAAAATCTTCTTCATTGATTTAATTTGTCTTTCTTTATGTATTTTGTAGAACTGCAATATGCTGCATGGGAAGCATTTATAGAAAACTTGGAAGGATGGTAATTATTAGTTATAATATTACAATTGTTTGTTTTGCTTTTTTTTTTTGATGTTGAAACGTATATTAGAATCTAAATGAAATGATATAAATACCATTATAAGAAAATCTAGAATATAGATGCAATAAATATTCAAGCATAACACAAACATTTTTAAAAATAACTATGAACATATGTAAGTGCAAACTAGATTTAAGTGCAAATTAGCAATTAAAAAATAGACAAACAATACATTTAAATCAGTTTAGTTAACAAGTTTACATGTTTTTTACATAAATGTTTTTTTACTTTTAATAATAGTTTTTACTGGAATTAGGTTTGTGTGAACTAAATGCATAAACATAATTTTTCTAATTACTTGAACAAAGGTTACTAAATAATGGTAGTTTAAAATTGTTTGGCACATACTGGTGTATGCATGTCAAACAATTTAAATGTGTGCTGGCATTACTTACTAGTGTTTGTTTGATGGTTGAGTAACAGATAGCAATTTAAAATTTTTAAAAGCAGCATTTACTCTTACACTATTTAACACAAATGTTTTCGAATAATTATGTTACCTTCACAAATAATTATGTTAGCTTCACAAATGATTATGTTAGTTTCACAAATAATTATGTTTGCTTCACAAATGATTATGTTAGTTTCACAAATAATTATGTTAGCTTCACAAATAATTATGTTAGCTTCACAAATAATTATGTTACCTTCACAAATGATTATGTTAGTTTCACAAATAATTATGTTAGTTTCACAAATGATTATGTTAGTTTCACAAATAATTATGTTAGCTTCACAAATGATTATGTTAGTTTCACAAATAATTATGTTAGCTTCACAAATAATTATGTTAGCTTCACAAATAATTATGTTAGTTTCACAAATCTGTTTGAAATTAAAAAAAAAAATCTTATACAGATTTGTGAATAAAGTAATCTTTATTTACTCTTGTTTAAGCAAAACATAAATTAAAAAAAATATATAATACATATTCACTAATAATAATGAATGATAATTCTTATTAACCACCATTTAAGATTTTTTAAAATATGTTAAATGTCTATATAATAAGGAATGACAACCTAAAAAATTTACGGTTTTTATGTTTGCATTTAGCTCCACGTCTAAAATTAATATATAATTTTCTGTCCAAGAAATGTACAACTTTTCACAGCAAAACTATGTTTTCTCACAAGATTTTTTTATTAATTACTTGATTTTCTTATGCAAATTATGTTGGCATATAAATATTAAAAAATTTGTATTACTTTATTACAGATAAAGTATTAAAGTGAAATTCTTTTCAATAAAATGTTTACTCAAGGTTGAATATATACCTAGTATATATTTAAAACAGTTATACAAATGCTAAAAACCATGTGTTACATAAAATTCTGTTTATTTCTATAATTCATTGTACAGTTACAAAATTATTTTGTTACCCAAGGAAAAAAACATTTGATCATTAATTTCATTATGTTCTTCTGGCACTCTGAAAGTATTTCTGGATCCTTAAAGTAAATTATTTACACACTTTTGCCATAAATTTTAATATGTAATACAAAAATAAAAAGTAAATAAAATATTTTAGTTATTTTAAATTGTAATTTTTATGAAATTCTTTTATTACAATTTTTTTTTTTTAAACTTTCTCTACTTCCCTTTACTACTTTTGTTTTAAATTAAATTTCTTTATACAAATTTTTTCAAAGTTTATTTGTATTGTTGTTTAGGTAGGAGCACTTTTCGATGCAGCTTTACAAGTGTTGCTTAAGCTTATATACAAAGCAGAGGTATGCAATCCTAAATTGTTCTAAATGCAGTTCTTTTTTGAATTTTGAATTTTTGTTTATTTTTTGCTATGCGCTTTTTTATTTTTATTAAACCAATTTTATTTAAGATCACAAACACAACAAAAACATCTTTATCATTATTTTTTAATTTTTTAGTTTTGTTAGACTAAATGAAACATTGATTGTTTTATGTTTGTTTGTTTTTTTGACTGAAAAAGGTAGAAGCAAGGTCTGCAATTTTTTGCTGACCTCGTTTCTATGTCAAAATAAAAGTCAAACACTTTTAGATTGGCAGTTAGGTCGGCATTGCCGAATGCCAACCTTAACTCCGAGGGTTAATGTAGGGATGGCTTTTTTACCTACTTTTTTTTTACTTACACAAGTAAGTTAATTTTTATCAAAAAGTAAATTATATCAGTTATTTTAAACATTTTATGTAAATTTACATTTCCATATAAGTAATTAATTTTTCTGAAACTACTTTTACTTTATAATGTAAGTTTATTTTTCAAAAGTAAGTTATGTAAAAGAAGGTTACATCAAAAAGTAATTTACTTTTACATGTAAAAGTAAGTCACATGAAAAAGCTCTTTACTTTTACATTTAAGTTAATTACTTTTAAAAATTACATTACATTTTATAAAAGTCTGTCAAACTGTAATTTATATTTACCTATAAAAGTAACTAATTAAAAAAAATTGTATTAAAAAAAAAACTTGCATATGAAAACAAACTACATAAAAGTAATATGCTACCAAATGTAAATTAAATATACAAATAATATTTTTTAAGTAGGAATTTTTTATTTTAAAAGTAATAACAAATCTTTATTAAAAATAAATTATATAAAATAAAATTTAAATTACATAAGCTTATATTTTATATAATTTGTAAAGTAAATTAAAAGTAATTTATACTAAGTAAATTTACTTACATTCTACAATAACTTCAACAGGATCTTGTATAACAGTAATGCTAAAAAGTCTAGAATTCAGACAAAGTTGAAACATGGCAGTGAGAAGTCGCATATGCCCATAGGAGACTCAGAAAGGGTAGACTATTTAAAAGGCATAATTGGCATAATTGTTAGTTCTTTTTACTGGGTTTTGTGTAAAAGTTTTTGTTATTGGAAAACTAAGGAGGGAAAGTTTAACCCAGTCCTGAATTATGGGGGCTACAACCCTATGTCCCGCAGATTTAGGAGCTCCAAAGATATTAAGAGGATTCATTATTTTTGTAAGGTTTTTTTGCCACTTTAATAAGAAAAAAGCCAGTTCAAAAGTATCCCTAAACCCTGCAAGTCTTAATCCGGTACTGGTTTTAAGAACTATGGTATTTTATGGGAGTGAAAAATTTAGAACTATATATGTAAATCATCTTTATCTGCATGTAGTATCAGTGGCCTAACTACAGCAAGGCCAGTGTAAGCAAAATTCATTGTTTCTCAAGCAACTAGGCCCAGGGTTCGCAAGGTTTAGGAGTCTCATGATGTATTTAGAGAGTTTATTTTTTTTTATTTTTTTAGTAAATGTAATTTTTCCAGAGAAACAGAAATCGAGCACCTAATCCAGTATGCCTACTGGACAAAAATATTTTGCTACGCTACTGTGTAATATATGTATAACCTGTGCAGTAGCTGAGCAATGATTTAAATGTAGGTTAAGAAATAAAACTTGTGGTGAATTGAAGGTATTTTAGCTTGTGGTGAAGAGAAGGTATTTTAACTACTTATACATTAATTTTTTAGGTATATTCTCAAAAAATACAAAACTATAATTGTCAAATAAAATAAACTTATTAAACTCAAACTTCAGAAAAACGCATGATCTTTAATTTTTAATGACAAGTTTTTAATGACTTTATTATGTAGAGATAATTAGGGGCTTGGCAATAAGACTATTATTGTCTTCTTCTTGCCCCCGCCATTTTAAAAATTATAAAAATTTGCACTGAAGAATGTCTTCAAGAAATAAAAAAAATAATAATCAATGACGAAATTAAATTTGAAAAAAAAATTAATTTGATAATACTGTTAGAAAAATACAAATGATCTTGCAGACTAAAGTCACTTATAAAAACTTAATTTTTTTTGTTAATCTTCGACAAATTTTAATGATGAAGTCAGTGTCATTTGATTATTTATTCACGAAAAAAAGTTAAATTAACTTTATCTCCGAATTTTCGAATGAGGAACAGAATTTGATTGTCAGACAAACTTATAACTTAATTAAAGATAATATTTTAAATCCCCTAAATAATTAGGGAGGTTGCTAGAGATTTATATGGTCATAGTTTTTGAACACAAAAAGATTATTGCATGACATTAGAGACTTGTTATTTGAACTTAAAACTTTAGTTTAAAATGTTAAAAAAAAATATATACATAATTTTTAAATTTAAAATTATATAGTCGATTGTTAAATGTCTTAACATTATTTCATCATATAGATGAAATAATATCAAATTCTTTTTTTTTTAAGTAAATTTTTGTTACTTTGAATTTTTGAAAATTTAAAGTAACAAAAATTTACTTTAAAAAAAAAGAATTTGATATTATTTCATCTATATGATGAAATAATGTTAAGACATTTAACAATCGACCATATAATTTTAAATTTAAAATTTTTTGAACCACCCTACTAAATAACTACTAAAGTATTAGATAAATTAAAATAAGTGTTTGTTGCGGTTATGAAAGGCTTTTTTAAAAAAACTGTCTGGTTTATTGTTCTTGCTTTGGAAATGACAATGCATTTTGGAATTTTATTAACTAAGTTTTGTATTTTGGATTCTTTTATTCAGCGTGTTGTTAAAAACCAATCTAACCAAAATAAAAGTTATTTCTGGAAATGACTAACTGGATTTCTGAAATTACTAACTGGAATAATTGTTGTCTGGAATAGACTAATTGAAATTGGTTCAGACATTAATAGCTATTAATAAATTGAAAAAAAAAATAATTTTCATTTCTACTAAAGTGGTTGTTACGACCAGGGCTGACTAGGGCCATCCCGAACAGGGGGTGTAAGGATATCCTTTCCCAAGTTGTTATATATTCATTTGAGTTAGCACATTTATACATTTATAATTTCAGTGGGCAAATTTTGAAGTATAGTTGACAAATGTTAAATATTGAGGACCTTATTTTTGTTCGTGTGTCTAGTTGGCAAAAAAAAACATATAACCCCCATCCTTCTTCTCCATGTGAGACCTCTTCAACACAGCCTTGACAATGACCACGCTGATTAAGAAAAGTGAAAAGCAGCAGCATAGCTACAAATATGCTCAGCTCCTTTGCAGTAAACTTTTATCAGAGCCACTAACCTATTTTCTCTCGACAAAAAAACTAATACTAAAACAGTTTATTTAAGAGTACTTGATGATTGAAAAGCTTTGAAAAAAGCTTTGAAAAGGTATTAAAATGCCTTTTCAAAGCTTTTTTGGATAAGATCTTTCTTTCTAAAATGTTATAAACTGGGGTTTATAATAATACTTTAAAGAAAAAAAAAATATTAGAGAAAAAAATTAGGGTACAACCCCCTTTGCCCAGTAAACAAATTTAACATGCATGTTCATCGAGATTTCACAAATGCTGTCAAGATAGAGTAAAATCAAAGCAAAGTCTGAAAGATAAAGTAAAATCAAAAGAAAAAAGAAAAGATTCAAAAAAGTGGAGTTCTCCGGTTGAAAACAATTTTAAGATATACTTTTATTAAATTTACACAAATACAAAAAGTTTCAGAGCTCTAGTTAGTCTGGAAGGTAGTGTAAAATCAATCGCAAGATTTTGAGACAAGATTATAAATATAAAACCCAATAAAAGATTATATCTGATAAACACTCTTTTAAACGTATAAATTATATTAGATAGTTTAAATGGCTTATAATTTTTTGAAAACTGTTTTAGCAGTCAAAGTCCTGGCGGATACCAAAAATGTTATATTGTGTCATATATTTATAACAAAGTACTTGATTGAAAAGGTAATACAAAGAAAAAAAGCTGGAGCAAAAGTGCACCCTAAGGAACAGTAACAGAGTCAACGTTTACACATGCATGAATTAGCCATAGGTTAGAAATTATGCCCCCTTCTCCAACGCCTCCCCATTGCCAAATTTTCATTATGGCTACTAACCTATTTCTACTCAAAAAAAAGAAATAAAAAATCAATGATTATTTAGCAGCCCCTATTAGCACTCATGCGGTAAGGAGCTTGTCTTTACTACTGTTATACCTGCATGTTGACTATATTTGCCCCTAATTATAATAGAACTACCCTTTATGATTATGTGAAAAAATCCTTTCCCGATGCCCTACCACAAACACTACCTACATACTTCAGAGTATTAGCTGAAGTATTACCTAGAAGTACCCTCAAACAGCTAATGGATTTGAATACACTTCCATCTCAAAATTTATGTTAAATTAATATGAACTGACTGTTTATTGAGAAAGTAAATAATATAACTTACATTTTACTTACTTACAAAGGAAAGTATAAAATTTCAAAGAAAAAATTTACTTTAATTTGCAATTGTAAATAACAATTACAATTAAAGTAATTTCAAATTACTTTTATGTAAGCTGTTTTTGCTAATTAGTTACTTTTAAAAAGTAATTTTTTGTTATGATGTAGATTTATTTTACTTTGTAAAGTAAGTGTAATGTTTTTTAAATACTATATTTATGTAAGTTAACTTCATAAATAACTTTTTTTTGTATATAAAAAGTAAATTACATTTCGATATAAATTTTTTACATAATTATAACCAAAATTACTTTTCAAAGTAAATTACTTTACATGACTTATCATTAAAAGTAAGTTACATTTACAAATAAAAGTAAAAATGCAAATAAATTTTATTTGTAATCCTCGATCCAAATATGATTATGGTCCCCCATCTTTTTGTATAAATATTTTGTAAATAAATGAAACATTTGAGTGTCCACTTGTTAAAGTGTAATATATTCTACTCAGTAATATATAGTGATGTATTGATGTATAACAATTAGATATAGAAGAGTCTTTTATTTATAATTTACTTAAATTTATTTTAACTTATCACACTTTAATGTTTTGTCATTTTTTAACATCAATCAATTAATTTGTTTATTTAATTTTTTTTTTTTTTTTTTTTTTTTTTTTTGTCAAAAGCCACATGCAAAATGCGAAATTCTACTGTGTTTTGAAAACATGTTACATGGAATGGGTAGTGCTTCAAAAGATGGCCATAAAGACATTTGTAAAGCTTGCAAAGCCACCCTTATTGATAAGTGTTTGCCAGTGCGTTGGGCAGGTGCAAAGGTAATTTCTGCTGTAATTTTATTTAGTTACTTATTAAATAAAACATTTAATGTTATAAGTAGTTGTACAATAATTGAAAAAAAATTTTGATACTGAAAATGTGTTGCTGTAACCATATTAAATGATGGTCTAGTTTTTCTTTGAAGATGTTGATAGTTAAAGCATTGCACAGTGGGCTAGAATATAACAAAAATTAGCAAAATAGAAAACATCAAAATATAATCATGTTATACATCTAATCATATGTTTTTGGGGTCAAGGTATCTATTTCTGACAGAAATTGGTTTTTAACGCACTGCACATTGGGGCAATTAAGATTTTTTGGTGTTGCAGATTATATATGTTTTTCAGACATGTGCAAACTCCAAACTTAGGTATGTTTATGTCAAATAATACCATTTTGCTAAAAATCTTTGTGATTCCAGTTTAGGAACAAAAGTGAGGACAATGAGTTATTAAATTTTGTTTTACATTTTTATACTTAATTTAACTACATTGGCAGGTTTTAAATTTCACAGAATAATCTTTCTGAGTTATGTCCATTTAAAGTTTACATCCCTCTCATTTTGTTAAGTTTAAAAAGTTATGTCCATTTAAAATTTATAATAATTAATATTAATTATATAATATATATATATATATATATATATATATATATATATATATATATATATATATATATATATATATATATATATATATATATATATATATATATATATATATATATATATATATATATATATATATATATTAGTAGAAGAAAGTGATTTTCTACTAGTTTGTAATTGCTCTGTTCTTTTAAGAACATTGAGCACTCTTTTTGTAGAATACATTTTAAATTGTTTATATATATATATATATATATATATATATATATATATATATATATATATATATATATATATATATATATATATATATATATATATATATATATATAATTAATAATAATTATAATAAATTATAATTAAAATTATAATAAAAAGTTGTCTATTTAAAATTTACATCCCCCTCATTTTGGGTAAAAACTTTAATTTTCGCTTGTAAAATCTAAAAGATTATTCCATGAAATTTAAAACCTGCTATCGTAGTTGAATTTAGTATAAAATAATTGACAAATTTATTCATTAACTCATTGCCCTCACTTCTAAGGTAAGAGAATAACTTTTCCTAGTATTTTTGTTCCCAGGCTCCAATCATAGTATTCCCGGACACTAATCAGTGAAATATTTTACAAGGTGTTATCTTTTGACATTAACATAAGCATAAGTTTAGAGCGCTATGTCTGAACACGTTAAATCTGTAACACCAATAAATCTATTTTGCGCCATTAGGACTATATTAATTTTAAGGGTTAAATTACATTTTATCAACAAAAATTCTATAAATCGTGAAATAAAGAAACAAAACAGGTTCATACAAGTTACAGTTTTCTTTGTAAAGTTTAAAGTTTACCCAAAGAAGTTACTTCCCAAAGAAGTAACTTCACAAGAGAAACTTCTTTTTGTTCTACAAGTAGAAGTTTAATTTCTTTGGAAAGAAGCAGTTCCACTTTCTTTCTGCTTTGCAACAAACTGAGAACTGGATCTGAACTACACAGAAGTCTTCTCATTAAATCCAGGTTGTTTTTTTTTTACAACATAAAGTGTAAAGAATTCTCTAAAGTTTTTAAAATCTTTGTTTCTGCTTTCATGTGCTTCTTCAGAAAGCATACCAATAGGTAAAATTTTGTTGCAACTACCTGGTGAAAGTGTACTGTTTACCTGGTGAGAGTGTACTGTTTACCTGGTGAGAGTGTATTGTAAACAGTTTGTTTAAACACTGCATCATATAATACCAGGGGTATAGATGTCAAAATGTTAGTCTCCTTGCAATAGATTTCCAGAGCCTCAGGGTTTACCTCTTCTATAAAGGAGACAGTATATAGTATGATGCAGGTTATTTTTTTTAAAAAAAAACATACCCTAAAAAAATGTCTTGCTGTATTGCCATCGTTGCATGTTCCAAATCTGCCAGATCTAGGAACATCCAAACCAATCTTCTTCTTTAATCCTCGCTGAACCAATATTTCCTTCTTTTTCATCTTCAATTTATTTTTATCTCCCCTAATTTGGCATTTCTCAATATCTGTTCTGTATGAGATGTGGAGAAGACACTCCATACATCTGATCCATGCATGAAGAATAGATATTCCATAGGAAAAGCTAGATTTACTAAGTGCGTTGCTTTTCTCATAAATAGTATCTAGATTATTCATTTCACTCGGAATCGCCCAACAAATAGAAAAAACAGTTGAATCAGTAGAACAGAGTTACATCACTGAGGTCTGTTGCCACTTTTTCATCCAACTTGGTCATTTCTAGTTGATGTTCAAAAAAAATATTTTCAACAAGTGTGAGTTGAATGGCAATTTCCATTATCCTCTTTGTTGTATGGTTTAATATATCTTGAATTCCTACTTTGGCTGAGTAGTCCTCTACTTGTATTCCAAAGGCAGAGATGCAGTTTTCTGTTGTACTAAAATGTTGTACTAAACTCTGTTGCCTTTTGTACTAAAATATATAAAGGATACATTTTGTTGTATCCTTTTTCCTTGGCTCAATTGGGCAATGTTTGATAATCAATTTTGGATAATTTGCATTGTAATAACAGAGCAAGTGCTTCATTATTACTATAGCAACCATCCAGCTGTACTATTCCATCTTCTTTACTCTGAGTATATCCTGCAGTAGCTGTGTACCTTCTAATCTCCCATCTATCTTGAGATGCATCATAGCAGCAGATAACAGCTCATCTGCTGGAGGTGGGACATCCATTAAATTTTATACATATCATATGGCACTTGATCTCTGTATACACTATTTTAACACAAGGTGGATGAAAAAATATTTTAACAGCTTAATAAAGAAAATTTTAATTGTTGTAATGTGTTTTAATACAAATTTTTTGAAAAAAGGTTACAAGTAATTTATCTTGAAAATAGTAGTGGAAGTTTGTGTACCTAAGATTGGGTATGTAGGTGCCGGATTTTTTAAATACCCAAAATCAAGAACCTAAGACTTGTCTGAAAATGATAAAACTGATATGATCACATCTCTATATTAATTACTTTGTATTAAATAGGTATAAATTATAAAAATCTGTAATGTAAAAGAATTTAAAAAATAGTAGTCCTTGGTACAATAAGGTATTTTTTAATTGTACTTAGACCACTAGATATTTTAGCATGGCCTTTTTCTCTGAAAATTATTAACATCTCCATAATAAATTAACAACAAAGATAGACACATAAACTTGATTTAAAATTTATTTAATTTTAGATTGTTTTCAACAAAATTATCTAGTGTTACTTGATTGTAACACTTAAAAAATAGCAAAATTGACTAATAGTTTTGAACAAAATTGACAAATAAACCTACACATAAAAAGGTAATACTAAAATAACTGAGAGAAAAAAATTCTGCACCAATCAAAATTCAAAAATCTGCCTTGTTATCAAACAAATTCTTTATGCACATATGGTCCTAGATACAAGCAAACTATATGACTCTAGGTACAAGACTAAATAACGTCATGAAAAATGTCATCTATTAACAAACCCAGATTGAGAGAAAACTTATAAATAAACATCAGATTTAGTACTTAATTAACAAACAATATAATATACAAGAACTTATAGAAAAACATTTTCTCTAAGATTTATAGAAAATCCTCTATGATTGTTAAACAATCTAAGATATTAACAGCAAAACTTTCATCAAAATTTTCCTATTATAGCTTGCCATTGCAACACTCGGTGAGAATCAAAATAGGATTGAAAAATAAAACTTTTTATAATTAATCACATGGCTGAGAAGCATAACTTGGAACTTTATAGTTTTCAAATTAAGTTTGGTGGCCATAGGTACACAAAATTCCCCTACTTTTCAAAAACAAACTTCTAGCCGAAAAATGCACATGCATGATTTGTTCTCAACTAAAACATTTTTAAAGTTTACACCAAATAAATTTCAGACAATATTTTTGAGTTTTTATTATAAATTAACATAAACTTATTCTTACATAAAATAAGTATATAAATTTTTATATAAATTTTCTTATAAATTTATATGAAGAGTCCAGAGGAAAAAACAGCATAGTCACATTTAAAAAGTTTTGAGAAAGTATATATTGATCATTTAATCAAAGTCTTTGTATAAAGATAGATAAAAAAACAATAATAAAAATTACAAAAATTTTATTAAAAATGTTAACTTGAGATAAATTTATCTAGAAATGCTTTTTTTTTCCTTATTTTTAAGTTTCTTTGTTTTTTATGAAGACTTATCTAAATGATCAATATATACTTTCTCAAAACTTTTTAAATGTGACTATGCCGTTTTTTCCCCTGGACTCTTCATATATTTTTATATTATCAAGAAAAAAATAAGACTCTTCATATATTTTTATATTATCAAGAAAAAAGTAGGCCTAGATTGAAATTAAATGGACAAAAGATCATAACAAAAAATCATAACATTTTTATTTTTAAAGTTTTTAGATTAAAACTTTTATCAGTGACTCTAGTCATCATGAAGGTCTTTTTTTTTAAAAAATAATTGTTTATTTGCAGATCCAGGCACCCTAAACACCCTAATAGAAAAGGGTATATAGGGCATTAGGGATTCTGGGAAAAGACAACTTTTGGTTGTTTTTCCCAGAATTAAAGCATTAATTAATTAAAATGTTTGTTACATTTTAGACCAATTTTTATAAACAAGAAAAGATTTATTTATTAGATATTTTATCCGAAATTAGAGTAAAAATATGCAAACTTAAAATTAAAAGTAAGTTACAATAAAACTTAAGTTGAACCAGGATAGCCCAGATGGTTAAAGTGCTGCTAAAAATCTCGGAATAATTGTTGATCGTAGCAGGAGGATTGCAGGTTCAAATCCCGGCTCTGCCTACTCAGTGTATGATTAGTACTTCGGTAGGAACTTGTATTTATTAGCTCT